GGTGAAAGGAGGGGAAATCAGCTCCGACCCTGGCAGGGAGAACCTGCAGGGGAGCAAAAAGCAAATTCCCACCAGCCCCAGCTGCTGCTGAAGGAGCCTTTGGGCTCTGCAGCCTGAGCTCCCCGGGCAGCCCAGGGAAAATTCTGGGGAGGGAAATCAAGAGTGAGCTCAGCATCCTCCCCACTCAGCCTCCCCTGGCCCAGGGTGATCCCAGCCCTGCCCAGGGACACCTCCAGGGATCCAGGGGCTCCCTGCTCTTCTCCCAGGGAAGAATTTCATTTTAACGTCCAATTTAAAGCTCTGCTCTTCCCCTGTGTTCCCCTGGGAAAAGGGGGGAAAGGGAGGGAAAAAGGGAGGGAAAAAGGGAGGGAAAAAGGGAGGGAAAAAGGGAGGGAAAAAGGGAGGGAAAAAGGAGAAAAGAAAAAGAGAGGGAAAAGGAAAAAGGGGAAAAAGGGAAAAAGGAAAAGGGGAAAGACAGTGCCAGAGAGAGCAGAACAAACCAAGCAAAGCCAAACAGGAAAAACTCAGGAGTCACAGAAACTCTGCCAACACTGTGTGTGTGCAGCAAACCAAGCCAGCTGCTCCAAGCCCTCCGGGACTTTGTGTCCCCCTGGATGCTCCTGGTGAGGCTGCAGCATCAGCAGAGCCAGGGCACAGCTGGAGCCCTGCAGAGGCCGTGGCTGCCCCCCAGGACCCCAGTCCCAGCCAGGTCCCACTGCCAGCTGGGGGGGTGTGAAGTAGGTCAGGGTGCTGAGGAGACACAACAGGGCCCTGAGCCCTGCCAGCCCCTCAGGAGCCAATGGAAGGGATTAATTAGGCAGGATTAAGAGCAGATGCTGGATGGAAAAAGCAGCAGAGCCAGCTGGGTTTGCACAGCTCAGGAAGGAGGGAAAGATGTGGGCAGGAGGAGGAGAGGAAGGCTCAGGCAGGCAGGGCAAGGGCTGGAACAGCTCCTGGCTGCCAGGGACAGCCCTGCTGGGGCCTGGCAGCACCAAAAGCTCCCACAGCCAGCAGCTCTGGGCTGCTGCAAAGCCCAGCAGAGCAGCAGCTGCACAGCAGCCAGAGCCAGGACTATTTTTAAGCCCAGCTCTGGTGCCCAGGCCAAGCCAGTGGCTCTTGAGGCCCTTGTGAGTCCCTGGAGCTGATCCAAGCAAACTGAGGAGCCTCAGCGTTATAGAAAAGTTGTGTCTTGTTCCTTTTTCCCTTCTTATTTGGCTCCAAGTTGTGCCTTATTCCTTTTTTTCTTTCTTATTGGGCTTTACCAAACCAGCCCAGAGTTCCTGCTTGGAATCCTTTTGGATCAAGGCAGGGGAAGCTGCTCAAGACACAGGTTAAAAATCCTGGAGGTGGTTCCAGAATCCTGGAATGGCTGGGAAGGGCTGGGAAGAGACCCCAAAGCCCACCCAGTGCCAGCCATGGCAGGGCTGGGACACCTCCCACTGTCCCAGGTGCTCCAGCCTGGCCTTGGGCACTGCCACAGCTGCTCTGGGAATTCCATCCCAGCCCTTCCCCACACTCACAGGGGGGAATTCCTGCCCAGAATTCCATCTTTGGGCAGCCCAGGGCAGGAGCTCACACTGGTCAGGGCTGCAGAAATCCCAGCAGGATAAGGTTTTCCCTGGTGGGAAAGGTTTCCAAGCAGGCTGGAAATGCCAGGAGAATCATTTGAAAGCAGCTGGGGACACAAGCCAGCACCTCTGGCTGCTGCAGTCACCCAGCCTGCAGCTCATTTGTTTAGTTAAAACGTTTCTCCTGCGGCCCCAGCTGCCTGAGGGGCCTGGAACCCTTCCCAAGGCTTTGTTGGGAACCTTTCCCAAAAGGTTTTACACTCCCCAGCTCCCTGAGCAGCCTCCTGGCCTCGCCACCATGCCCATAAAAGCTCAGGAAGGGCGAGGCAGGGAGCAAAGCTAATCAGAGAAAAATGTGTTGGGTTTGAGGGGCAGCAGCCCTGCACAGGGGGCAGGCAGGGAAAGTGCCCACAGAGATGCCAACGCTGGCTGGGGAGAGTGGGCACAGCACAGAGCACAGCAGGGCAGAGCAGGAGGGGCAGATGTGGGGAAAACCCTTCAGGAACAGGACACTGCCATGTTGGGATCGGAGTTTTTATCCTTTTAAACACCCACAGCTGAGTCTGAGGGGGCAGGGAGCTCCTCCTTTGGGACCAGGGACCATTTGAGGATTTATTTCCTTTAAACCTTTTAATTTTATTGAGTTTTACACCTCAGCAGCAGAGCATCCCAAACCCCACACCAGTTTGGCACCCCAAACTCCTCAGGGGCAGATCCCTCAGGGAACAGAACCCCTGAGCAGCAGACCCCAGACCCATGGGGCTCCCCCACCTCCCCCAGCCCTCACAACCACCTCAAACCCCTCAGGGAACAGGGCACCCCAAAGTCCTGAGCAGCAGAGCACCCCAAAGCCTTCAGGGAGCAGAACACCCCAAACCCCTGAGGAGCAGAACACCTCAGACCCCTGAGGAGCAGAACACCCCAGACCCCTGAGGCTCTCCCACCTCTCCAAGCCCTCACAACTACCCCAAACCCCACCCCAGTTTGGCACCCCAAACCCCTCAGGGCAGAGCACCCCAATCCCCTGAGGGGCAGATCCATGAGGGGCAGATCCCTCAGGAGCAGATCCCCTCAGGAGCAGATCCCTGAGGGGCAGATCCCTGAGGGGCAGATCCCCTCAGGGGGCAGATCCCTCAGGAGCAGATCCCTGAGCAGCAGACCCCAGACCCACGGGGCTCCCACACCTCCCCAAGCCCTCACAACCACCCCAAACCCCTGAGGGGTAGATCCCCGGAGGAGCAGAGCACCCCAAACTCCTCAGGGGCAGATCCCTCAGGGAACAGATCCCCTCAGGAGCAGATCCCCTCAGGGAACAGATCCCCTCAGGAGCAGATCCCTGAGGAGCAGATCCCTGAGGGGCAGATTCCATGAGGGGCAGATCCCTCAGGGGCAGATCCCTCAGGGAACAGATCCCCTCAGGGGCAGATCCCTGACGGGTAGATCCCCTCAGGAGCAGATCCCTCAGGGAACAGATCCCCTCAGGGAACAGATCCCCTCAGGGAACAGATCCCCTCGGAGCAGACCCCAGACCCATAGGGCTCCCCCACCTCCCGAAGCCCTCACAACCACCCCAAACCCCTCAGGAGCAGATCCCTGAGGGGCAGATCCCTCAGGAGCAGACCCCATCCCCGTGGGTGTCCCCCCTCTCCCCATGCCCCCAGCAGGGTCCCTTACGTGATGTACTTGTGGTAGAGGATGAAGGCGTGCTCCAGGTTGCCCTCCTGGCAGTACACCGTGGCCATGCGCAGCATCTCCACGCCCGAGCGGAAGTAGCGGCGCGGGGGCACGTCCTGACTGACCTGCACCAGGCTGCCCGCCCGCACCAGCCGCTGCACCCGCTCCTCGGGGGCCAGGCTGGCGCTGCCCGGGCCCGGGCCCGGCATGGCTGCACGGACAGCACGGGGCTGGGGGACAGAGAGAGAGAGAGGGGGGGGGAGTTAGAGTGTGGGGAACTGGGGAATGATGAATCGGGGGATCACAGAAATCACAGAAATCAGGGAATTGGGGAATCAAGGAATCGTGAATCAGGGAATCACAGAAACACAGAAATCAGGGAATCCGGGAATCAGAATCACTGGATCACAGAAATCACTGGATCGCAGAAATCAGAGAATCGGGGAAATCAGGGAATCGTGAATCACAGAATCAGGGAAATTAGGGAATCACAGAAATAACAGAATTGGGGAAATAACTGGATCTCAGAAATCACTGGATCTCAGAAAATGGGGAAATCAGGGAATCACAGAATCACTGAAACACAGAAACCACTGAAACACAGAAATCAGAGAATCAGGGAATCAGGGAATCGCAGAATCACTGGATCAGAGAAATCAGGGAATTGGGCAATCAGGGAATCATGAATAATGGAATCAGGGAAATCAGGGAATTGGGGAATCACAGAAATCACTGGATCAGGCAATCAGGGAATCATGAATAATGGAATCAGGGAAATCAGGGAATCACAGAAATCGCTGAATCTGAGAATCATGGAAATAACAGAAATCACGGAATCAGGGAATCATGAATAACAGAATCGGGGAATCCCAGAATCAGGCAATCACGGGGCTCCAGGATCCTCCCAGACCCATCCTGACCCAACAGGCTCCATCCCAAACCCATCCTGACCCAACAGGCTCCATCCCAAACCCATCCTGACCCAACAGGATACTCCCAGATCCTCCCCCCACAATGGGGCAAAGGGAGCCCCAGAACGAATCCCCCTGTCCTGAGAGGAAACAACCCCAGCCCTGAGCACATCTCAGCAGTTCCCAGCAGACATGGCGGTTACAAATTAATTTAGGTTTGAAATTAATTTAGGATTTATGACAGGAACCTAAAGCAAAGGTTCCCACAGCCAGGATCCCTCCGCGATGGGATCCCCTTCCTAAAGTGAACATCTCGCGGCCGGAACGCTCCAGGCAGGGTCCCCCTGCTCAAGGGAAGGTTCCAGCCCCCCCTGCCCGCGCCGCCATACCGGACCCCCCCAGCCAGAGCCCTCCTGCCGCGGTCTCTCGGGGCAGCTCGGGACTCCCCAGCACCGCGGCCCCGGCGCCTCAAGCCGCCCCCGGTGGTCAGAGGGAGCCCCCCCCGCAGCGGCCGGGCCCCCCCCATCCCGCAGGGCCCTCTCCAGCCCGGCCCGGCCCTGACCTGGCGCGGGCGGCTGCCGTTCCCCCTCGGCACTTCCGGGTTCTTCCCCACCTGCCACAGCCTCGCTCTCGGCAGCCAATCAGAAGCCGCCTCAACATCCGGGTATGCAGTACATACAACCTACTTCCGCCCGGTTGTGAAACGGCTTCCGCACCACGTCGCGCGTGGTGACGTCACAGCGGTAGCTCTTAAAGGGGCAGCGCCCAACCCAAACCCGGCCGTTCTCACCCCAAAACCGGGCCCGACCCCCCCTCAGCGCGGGAAATCACTGCTCCGCAGCCAGGCTGGAGTTTGCACAGCGTGGAAATTTACTTTAGCAAAAGTAAAAATTTTATACTCAGGTAAAAAATGTTGCTGATTTTACCCATTATAGCAAAAATGAGTAAAAAAGAGAATAAAAATCTGAGTTTTCATGGTCAGTCCCGTTCTTTGCCCTGAGGAAATCAACAAAACTCCATTTTGTTGAAGGTCCAGGGGTACCTGAGGAAGTTTCTTTAGGATTATTCCAGAATCCCTCACTCACAGCACCAGATGAAAAAATTCCTGTAAAAGCACCTGAGCTGTGAGAAAAAAAAACAGATTAAAAACCAGCCTTGATTTTCTTAAAAACCTGCTGCTGCCTGGCAGCTGCTGCTGCTCCCTGCAGGGTTCTCCTGGTGGAAAAGCACCAGAGCTGTGGGCAGTGAGAAAAACCAGGTTAAAAATCAGATTAAAAGCAGCCCTGGGCAGCTGCTGCTGCTTCTCCCTGCAGAGTTCTCCTGGTGGGGCTCTGTCAGGACATGTCCTGCTGGGCTCTCCTGGGCTGGGGGCTCTGGGGGGATCAGAGCTCCTGGTGCTGCTTCTTCTTCTTCTTGAGGGGTGGGGACAGCCAGCAGTTCCTGGGGGGCACAGGGCAGGGCGGCTCCACGGCCTCCTGCTCCTGATCATTGTGCTCCAAATAATTCTGCTGCTTCTGCTGTCTCTTATCCAGCTTCTTCTGCTTCCTCTGCTCCTCATGCTCCATCTCCAGATGATTCTGCTCCAGCCAATCCTGCTTCTCCTGCTCCAGACGTTTCTGTTTTTTCTGCTTCCTCTGCTCCTCATGCTCCATCTCCAGATGATTCTGCTCCAGATGATTCTGCTCCAGATGATTCTGTTTTTTCTGCTTCCTCTGCTCCTCATGCTCCATCTCCAGATGATTCTGCTCCAGCCAATCCTGCTTCTCCTGCTCCAGGTGTTTCTGTTTTTTCTGTTTTCTCTGCTCCTCATGCTCCATCTCCAGATGATTCTGCTCCAGCCAATCCTGCTTCTCCTGCTCCAGATGATTCTGTTTTTTCTGCTTCCTCTGCTCCTGATGTTCCATCTCCAGATGATTCTGCTCCAGCCAATCCTGCTTCTCCTGCTCCAGGTGTTTCTGTTTTTTCTGTTTCCTCTGCTCCTGACGTTCCAGCTTTTTCAGCCTCTTCTGCTCAAGATGCTCCTGCTCCTGGAGCCCCAGCTTTTCCTGTTTCCTTTGTTCCTGATGCTCTATCTCCAGATTATTCTGCTCCAGATGTTTCTGCTTCTTCTGCTCCAGATGTTTCTGTTTCTTCTCTTTCTTCTGCTCCTGATGCTCCATTTCCAGATGATTCTGCTCCTGATGTTCCAGCTTTTTCTCTTTCCTCTGTTCAAGATGCTCCTGCTCCTGCAGCTCCAGTTTTTTCTGCTTCCTCTCCTTCAGATTATTCTGCTCCTGATGTTCCAGCTTTTTTTTCTTCCTCTGTTCCAGATGGTTCTGCTCCTTCTGTTTCCTCTGCTCCAGATGCTCTGTTTCCAGGTTATTCTGCTCCAGGTGTTTCAGCTTTTTCTGCTTCCTCTGCTCCTGCTCCAGATTCTGTTCCTGATGTTTCTGCTTTTTTGGCTTCCTTTTCTCCTGATGCTCCATTTCCAGATGGTTCTGCTCCAGATGTTCCAGCTTTTTCTGCTTCCTTTGTTCCTGATGCTCCATTTCCAGATGTTCCAGCTTTTTCTGCTTCCTTTGTTCCTGATGCTCCAGCTCCAGGTGTTTCAGCTTTTTCTGCTTCCTCTGCTCCTGATGCTCCATTTCCAGGTGGTTCTGCTTTTTCTGCTGCCTCTGCTCCAGACCCTCCTGCTCCTGGAGCTCCAGCTTCTTCTGCTTCCTTTGTTCCAGATGGTTCTGCTCCTTCTGTTTCCTCTGCTCCTGATGCTCCATTTCCAGATGATTCTGTTCCAGATGCTCCAGCTCCTCCAGCTTTTTCTGCTTCCTCTGTTCCAGGTGATTCTGCTCCTGATGTTTCAGCTTTTTCTGTTTCCTCTCCTCCTGATGGTCCATCTCCAGATGTTTCTGCTTCTTCTGCTTCCTTTGCTCTTGATGTTCCATCTCCAGATGCTTCTGTTTCTTTTTCCTCTGCTCCTGATGCTCCAGCTCCAGCTGATTCTGCTTTTTGTGTTTCCTCTGTTCCTGATGTTCTATCTCCAGATGATTTTGCTTTTTCTGCTTCCTCTGCTCCAGATTTTTCTGCTCTTCCTGCCTCTGCCTGGCACTGCTGGTGCTCCTGCAGGGAAATTGGGGATCAGCACCCAAAAAAGAGCTGGGGGAGCACCCAGAGCCCCTCTGGGAGCACCCAGAGCCTTTCCTGCAGCCTGAACTTTAGAGAGGCTCACTCCTGGTTTCTGACAGGATTTCCATCAGGAATTTTCAATTTCCATCAGGGATTTTCAATTCCCATCAGGGATTTGTTTCAATCTCCATCAGGAATTTGTTTCAATCTCCATCAGGAACTGGGGAGGAGGGGAAGGAGCCCCAGCTGTGCCACAGCTGGCACTGGCTGTGCCCAAAGCTGTCCTGGAGATGCTTTGGGAGCATTTGGGAGCATTCCCAAGGCACAAGAGCCTCCCTGCTGCCATTTTGGCCCTGAACAACTTTCAGAATTTCTTTTTTTACTCTCCCAGAGCTGGGGGAGCCTGGAAAAATCCGGCTGGGATTGTTCCCAAAGGGAGGGAGCAGGGGAAGGGGCAACACCTACCTGGGCACTGCCAGGGGGGGCTGGGGGTGCTCCTGGGCCTTTGCTGGGGCACTGCTTTCCTTCCTCACATCTGAGCCCACATCCTTCAGCTCACAGCTGCTTTGGAAAGACAATTCCAGATGTTTTCACTGGGAAAATGGAGCTTTTCACCCACTGAGTGACCCCATCAGCTCTTCACACCCTGAGAGGAGGCCTGGGGGGTTTTTCCATGCAGCTCCAGCCCCAGAGTGGGATTTAAGGTCCTTTCCAACCCAAACCACCCAGGGACACCTTTCCCTGGCCCAGGCTGCTCCCTGGGCACTGCCAGGGGGGCTGGGGGTGCTTCAGCAGCTGCTTCTGGGCCTTTGCTGGGGCACTGCTTTCCTTCCTCACATCTGAGCCCAAATCCTTCAGCTCACAGCTGCTTTGGAAGGGAATTTGAAAGAGAATTCCAGATGTTTTCACTGGAAAAATGGAGCTTTTCACCCACTGAGTGATCCCATCAGGTCATCACACACCCTGAAAGAGGCCTGGGGGGTTTTTTCCATCCAGCTCCAGCCCCAGAATGGTTTGGGTTGGGAAGGACCTTAAATCCCAGCCAGGGACACCTTTCCCTAGCCCAGGCTGCTCCTTGGGCACTGCCAGGGGTGGAGCAGCCCCAGATTTCCTGGGAATTCCACCTCACAGGGGGGATTTCTCCATAAACTGCCCCCAGCCCTGCCCTCTGTGGGGTTTTCCAGCCAGGCTCACCTCGGGGCTCTCCTCTGCAGGTCCTGGATGTAGTTGCTCCTCTCCATGGGGTGCCCTCGAGATGTGTTGAACACTGGGGACACACAGAGTTACCCCAGAGCAGCTGAAACCCTCCAAAACTCTACTTTGCACTTTGTTTTTAGCTAACTAAAACAAACAAACAAACAAAAAAGTTCCCTGAACTATAATTTTTTTAAACTGTTTTTTTAAACTGTTCTACTCTAAACTAAAAGCCCAAAAACCACCAGAGCCTAAAACACTACATTCCAAAACCAAAAAAAATTAATAAAAAACTAAGCAAGCCAAACTACAATCCACACAAAAAAAAATCTAAATTTAACTTAATATCTCTTGAAAACAATAACAGAAAAATGTATTGTTTAACATTATTAATTTTTCATACCTATAAACACTCTGTTAAATAAACTCTTTTCCCACTCTTCTCAACAAAAATCTTTTCCCAAATAAAAAGAAAAGCCACTTAGAGCTACTTTTTAAAAAACCTCTTTTAAAAGCTTCCTCCCAAAATTTGCCCTTCCCTCCCTGAACACTCCCATCCCAGCAGGATGCTCACACTCTATGGCAGCATTTGGCTCCATGCCTTCAACCTCAATCAGGTACCTGAAAGAGCAGCAAAACATCTCTAATTAAACAATTAATTATGCAAACATTGATGGGTGGTGATGATACAAACAGATAAAAAAGGACTGGTGAGTTTTAAATTTTTTATTTATGGAGAATCAGCATTTAACGCTGAATTTTGGGATGGAAAAAAAATGCCCCCCCTGTGAATCCTTGCAAGTTTGGGGTCACAGAAATTACCCCAGTCTGGTTTCCTGCTGAAGGGTCACCAGTGAGGCCAGCTTGGCAAGGGGAACTGAGCTGGAACTGCCACAGGAACTGAACTGGAACTGACCTGGAATTGCTAGCCTGGGTAAGGGGAACTGACCTGGAACTGCCACAGGAACTGACCTGGAATTGCCAACCTGGGCAGGGAGAACTGACCTGGAACTGCCACAGGAACTGACCTGGAATTGCCTGGGCAAGAACTGACCTGGAACTGGCACAGGAACTGACCTGGAACTGACCTGGAATTGCCACAAGAACTGAGCTGGAACTGCCACAGGAACTGAGCTGGAACTGCCTGGGCAAGAACTGACCTGGAATTGCCAACCTGGGCAAGGGGAACTGACCTGGAATTGCCACAGGAACTGACCTGGAACTGCCAACCTGGGCAGGGAGAACTGACCTGGAATTGCCAACCTGGGCAAGGGGAACTGAACTGGAACTGCCACAGGAACTGACCTGGAACTGCCACAGGAACTGACTTGGAACTGACCTGGAATTGCCAGCCTGGGTAAGGGGAACTGACCTGGAACTGCCACAGGAACTGACCTGGAACTGCCACAGGAACTGACCTGGAACTGCCTGGGCAAGGGGATCTGACCTGGAATTGCCAACCTGGGCAGGGAGAATTGACCTGGCACTGCCAACCCAGGCAAGGGGAACTGACCTGGAATTGCCACCACTGAGCCCACCTGGGCAGGGAGAACTGACCTGCAGTGCCCCCAGCAGCAGCAGCAGCACCCACCTGCAGTGCCCCCAGCAGCAGCAGCACCCACCTGGCATTGCCCCCAGCAGCAGCAGCACCCACCTGCAGTGCCCCCAGCAGCAGCAGCACCCACCTGCAGTGCCCCCAGCAGCAGCAGCACCCACCTGCAGTGCCCCCAGCAGCAGCAGCAGCACCCACCTGGCATTGCCCCCAGCAGCAGCAGCACCCCCCTGGCAGTGCCCCCAGCAGCAGCAGCACCCACCTGCAGACCAGGTAGCCAGTCCTGTTCAGGCCATGTGTGCAGTGCACCCCGATCAGTTTATCTGCAACACACACAGGGCACCCCGAGCTGCTTCCCCTCCCCAATGTCCCAAATGTCCCCAGAATGAGCCCACCTGCCCCAACCCCCCCAGTGCAATACCCACACACACCACGTGCTCAGGTCTAATTAGCACTCAGCTCATTAATTCTGGCTGCTCATCTGCTCAGTCCCAGAGTTCAATCCCAACTAAGGCTCAAATGACACCTTTGAGAAGCCTTTGGGGTGGGAGGGACTCAAAGCCCACCCAGGTGAGTCCTGCCTCCATCCCTGCCCAGGATATCAGAGCCCAGGGGGATTCCTTCCCCAGAAAATCCAATTTATTGCATTTACTGGACTCTGGCAGGCCCAGAGGAGGGAAAGAAATCCCTGCTGGGCCAGAATGGAAGTGCAGGCTCACCGTTGTCCTTGTTGGCCAGCAGGAACCTCCTCACCAGGTCCCTGAACCTCAGGAAGGTTCTTCTGTTGGGGATCTCGTGGCCCATGGTCAGGATCTTGCAGTACTGCACTGTGGAGGGCAGGTCCTGGGGAAAAACCTCAGTCATTTCCAGAAAAAGCACCAAAGTGCTCATTAATTACACAAACATTGGTAGTAAGCCAGAAAAAAACAGTTTTTCTCACACAAAAATCCTTATTAATTAAAGAATGACAGGTAAAAAACTAGAAAAATATGTGTGTTCCTCACACAGAAATTCTTATTAATTACACAAGCACTGGTAAAAAAACCAGAAAATGATGAGTTTTTCTCACACAAAAATTCTTACTAGTTAAAGAATCACAGGTAAAAACCCAAAAAAATATGTGTTTCCCTCACACAAAAGTTCTTATTAATTAAAGAATCACAGGTAAAAAAAAACAGAAAAAAAAACAGTTTTCCTCACACGAAAATTCTTATTAATTACATAATCACAGCAAATAAAAGATGGGTTTTCCTCACACAAGAATTCTTATTAATTAAAGAATCACAGGAAGTAAAAAAGAAAAAAATCCAGTTTTCCTCCCACAAAAATTCTTATTAATTACACAATTATGGGTAAAATCAGAAAAAGATGAGTTTACCTCACACAAAAATTCTTATTAATTAAAGAATGGCAAGTAGCAAAGCAGAAAAAAGCCCAGCTTTCCTCACAGAAAAATTTATATTAATTACACAATCACAGGTAATGAACTATCTGGGGCTTGGAGACTTGATCAGAAACACCCCCCTGTCCTGCAAGGCTGCAGCTCAGCCCCTGGAGAGGATTCCAGCCCCTCCCAGCCCCATTTTGAGCTGGTTTTGGGGAGGATTCCCCCATTCTGAGCTGGTTTTGGGGAGGATTCCCCCATTCTGAGCTGGTTTTGGGGAGGATTCCCCCATTCTGAGCTGGTTTTGGGGAGGATTCCCCCATTCTGAGCTGGTTTTGGGGAGGATTCCCCCCTTCTGAGCACTGACCTGCCTGCTGTAGTAGCGTGTGGTGTAGGTGAGGTCGATGATCAGCCCCAGCTCCTCCTTCCTCTCCCGCAGCTTCCTGATGAGGTCCCGAGGGGAAAATCTCTTCTCTGGCAGGAGGTTCTGCTCAAAGCACTGCAGAAAATGGTGGTTTAAAGCAGGAAATGATAGTTTAAAGCAAGAAATGATGGTTTAAAGCAGGAAATGATGGTTTAAAGCAAGAAATGATGGTTTAAAGCAGTTACTAAAACCTGGGGATGTTGTGAGGGCTGGGGAGAGGGGACGCTCCTGCTCTGGAGTGTGCTGGAGACCAGAGACAACAACCCAGGCAAAAAAAAAGAAAATCACAGTTTGGTCACTGAATTCTGGCCTGGTTTGGGTGAAAAGGACATTAAAATTATCCAGTTTATGGATTTGCTCAGAGCCTCAGAGCTTTGGGAGCTCCCAGTGGTGAGTGACAACTTTCACAGTGACAAACACAGCTGGGCACTCACTGCAGGTTTGCTGCTGGGAATTCAGCCCAAACACACAAACCACAGAATCCCTGAGGCTGCAAAAGCCCCTGGACACCACCCAGTGCCAGCTGTGCCCGATGCCCACCCCATAGCACTGAGTGCCACCTCCAGGAGCTCCATGGACACCTCCAGGGTGGGCAGCTCCGACACCTCCCTGCCCTTCCCAGGAAAAATTCCTCCTGGTGCCCAGCCTGGAGCTGATTTTTCTTCTCCTGTCCCAGTCCCAAACCTCCCTGGGCAGCTCCAACACCTCCCTGCCCTTCCCAGGAAAAAATTCTTCCTGATGTCCAGCCTGGAGCTGATTTTGGTCCTCCTGTCCCCGTCCCAATCCTCCCCTCCTTTCCCAGGAAGAAATCCCTCCAGGAGCTGTTTCCTCTCCTCCTGTCCCCGTTCCCTGGAGCCCAGCCCATCTGCTGCCCCTCCCAAACCCAGCTCTGCATTTTGGGATCAGGAATTCCCTCAAGGAACGTCCCCCCCCCAGCCCAAAGTGCCCCCTCACCTTCTTCAGGGGCACCTTGAAGGCCACGAAGCGCGTGCCGGGCATCCTGCGGCCCAGGGGGGTGTACTCTGTCCACCTGAGCCATTGGGGGGGGTCAGACGGGGCAGGGACCCCCGGCCCGGCCCCCCCAGACACCCCCAGAGCCGGCAACGCAACCCCCCCAGGCTGGAACCCCGAATTCAGCAGCACTGAGAGCCCTCAGCCTCCCCCTGGGGAAAAATCCCTCATGGCCAGGGACCCCCGGCCCATGGGCGGCCAAACCCCCTGTGCTGGGGATGCCTCAAACTCTGTCCGGCCCAGGGATCCCCCAAATTCCTGCCAGTCCTGGGGACCCCTCAAGCTCTGGCTGGACCAGGGACCCCAAAATTCACCCCCAGTCCTAAGGACCCTCAAGCCCATCCCGGCCTGGGAACCACGGCCCTGGTCTAGGGACCCTCAAACCTCCCCCAGGCCCGAGACCCCCATATCCCCCCTCAAACTCCCACCGAGTCTGGGACCCCCAAATCCCCCCTCAAACCTTCCCCGGACCCCCAAATCCTCCCTGGCTCAGGGACCTTCCGCTCCCACTCTGCCCAGAGATCCTCAAGCGTCTCCCGGCCCGGGGACCCTCACACCCTGCGGCCCCACAGAGCCCACAGCCCCTCACAGCCCCTCAGAGCCCGCAGCCCCGCGCTCGGGCCGCGCTCACCGCTCCGGGACGCGGCAGGACCCTCTGCCCACCATGATGGCGACGCCACCGCGCCCGCGCGTGACGTCATTTTTGGCGTCCGCGCCTGACGTCACTTACGCGCCCGCCGCACGTGCGCGCGGGGCTACACTGGCCACGCCCCCATGTTCAGACCACGCCCATAGCAGAGAGGCCACGCCTCCCGCGCGGCGCGCTGGGGCTCTCGCGCCGCGTAGCGGTCACGGGCGGTACTGCAGGCACAGAGCGGCGGCGCCACCGAACCGGGACCGAACCGGGACCGAACCGGGACAGAACCAGAGACACCGAACCGAGACCCAACCAGGGCCGCCGAAACGGGACCGAACTGGGTACACCGAACCGGGACAGAACCGGGACCAAATCGGGACCACTAACCCGGGACCAAACTGGCACCGAACAGGTGCCACCGAACCGGCATTGAACCAGCACTGACCGGGACTGAACCGGTGACACCGAACCATTGTCACCACACCAGGGTCACCGAACCAGGACCGAACCAGCATCACTGCCCCAGTACCAAACCAGGGAGCAGGGAATGATTGTGGGATGGGAAATCCTTGTGGGAATGGGGAACGATTGTGGGGATGAGAAATCCTCATGGACATGGAAGTCAAGTGGGAATGGGGATGGAAAAACATCGTGGACATGGGAAATAATTGTGGGGATGGGAAATTCTTGTGGGAATGGAAATGATTGTGGGGATGGGAAATCATCATCATGGATATGGAAGTCAAGGTGGGATGGGAAATCCTTATGGGAGTGGGAAATGATTGTGGGATGGGAAATCCTCATGGACATGGAAGTCAAATGGGAATGGGGATGAGAAATCCCCGTGGGAATGGGAAATCCAGGCTGGGGTTAGGAAATCACCATGGGAATGGGAAATGGAGGCCATGGTTGGGAAATCATGGTGAGAATGGGAAATCATGGTGAGAAATCATCCCTGGCATCCCCATCACTGCCCAGCACCAGCCAGGTACTGAAAATCCTGAAAATCCCAGGATTTCCTGGCCTGGGATGGGACAAACCGAGCCGGGACGGGATTTTCCCCTCCCAAACATCCCATTCCCATAGAACAAACGTGGGCGGCCAGCCCCTTTTCCGGAGGGAGGGGAAGCACCGGAGCAGCGTCCCCGCCGGGCAGACGGGCCGTGGGCAGCGGGCGGAGGGCGCGGCCCGGTCCGGCCCGCCCGGCCGAGCGGGGGTCGCGGCTCTCGGGATGCCCCGGGGCCGTCTGGGCTCGGCGGGGCCGCTCCCCCCGCACGCACGGATCAGGTTGAACCTCCTGCGCTTCCAGCCCAGCCTGTAATTAGCGCTCGGGCCGGGCCGAGCAGGATCCGGGCCCTGGGAAGGAGCCGCGGCCGCCTCGGGGTGTGGGACCGGCGCTGGCTGAGGCTGGAGAACTCATCTCACACCCGGCCGGGCCTCGGCGCCCCTCTCCACGTGCTGGTTTTGTCTCCTTGTTGCTGGCCCAGCTCTCAGGATGCTTTTCTAACCCCCGGGTACCCCATCCACACGCGAGCATCCCCCCACAAGGGCATTCCCACCCCCCAAGCCAAGCCCAAAATCCCAAATCCCTCCTCCCAAGCTGGCTGTGGTGGGGTCCAGCACCCTCCAGCCCGAGCACAGGGGGTTCAGCACCCCCAAAACCCCGCGGAGGCTTTGCCGTGGCTTTGGGGACAGGGCTCGACAGCGGGGACCCCGCGGCGGTGACTCAGGGATGCCGGGGCTTGCAAAACACGCCCGGGATGGTTTGGGAGACGCCTCCACGCAGCCGCCCCGGGGAAGCCGTGGTGGGGGAACAAGCCACGGCAGCGTCTGGGCTCTGCTGACCCGTCAGGCAGGTTTCCCGGAGCAGCAGCAGCCCAGCCGGGGCCGGCGATCGCAGCTGAGCGAGGCCCCCCGGCTCTGCGCTGGCCGGAGCCATGCGGGCGGCGGGGCTGCTGCTGCTGCTGCTGCTGCTGCTGGCCGGGGCGATGCCGCGAGGCGCGGGCAGCCAGCAGTGCCACCCCGCCGGCCCCGGGGCAGTGCCGGTGCTGCGATTCACCGACAGGCACGCCGAGATCCGGGTGCCGGCGCTGCACCGCGTGCCCAGCTCGCTGGATCCCCTCTACGGCCTCGTCCGGCGCTGCCTGGACCTCATCCAGCAGAACCCGCTGCCCACAGGTGAGCCCTGAGCGCCGGGGAAAGAAATCTGGGGTCGTTTGATGCAGTGGGTTTGCAATGAAATGGCATTAGTTCAGCTGGACCGTCTTGCTGAGGTTGTTTCTTGTAGTTGGGCCACTCTAAATTGCAGATAAATGATGAATGGCAGAGGGATTCACACCGAAATAAATGATTGTTAAAGATCCATGAATATCCCCATTCCTTGCCTGGGATGTGGAGGGATTACAAATGAGAGGATCTTCGAGTTAATGGTAAATCCTCCAGGAATAATCCAGAAAATTGTCCTGAACCAACTGGAGGGCACTCTGTTAACTGGGGGGAAAAAACAAGAAGTGAGGATGAGCTGGACAATGATTCCTCACCTCAAGCAGAGTGATCCCACTGCTGCCAGGACCTTGGGTGTTCTGCAGGCTGTGATCCTGTGTCCCAGAGCAGCTACAGGCGTTCAGAAGGGGGTCCTGCCTCTGTCCCAGAGGGGCCCCAGGGGTTCAGCAGAAGCTTCAGCCTCTGCCCCGGTGCTGCTGCCCCACGAAGGTTGGGGATGCACCGGGCGGGGCCTCCTCTGCCCGTGCCGTGATTTATTTTTTGCAGAGCTGCTCAGGACAGCCCTGAACGACCCCGGCTCGGTGAGGACATCGCAGGTGAGCCGGGCCGTGGGGCAGGGGATGCCACGGGGATGCTCCCACCTGGCACGGGGCACCCGGGCACACAGAGAGCCCCGAGCTCGGTGCAGAGGTGCCCCAGCGAGGCTCTCCCGTGGCGCAGGTGCTGCAGTACGAGCTGGGCTATGTCGTCTGTGCCGCCGTGGCTCTGCTCTTCACCGTGGCCGTGCCGGTGGCCGGGATGTGCTTCTGCTACTGCCGGAGCCGCCGGCGCTGCGGGGGCCGCCTCCGCGCCCACCGGCGCTCGCTGGGCTGCCGCCGCCGCTGCCTGCTGGCCTGCCTGTCCTTCACCTCCCTCGTCATCCTGTGAGCCCCCCGAATCACCCCCAAAACCCTCGCTGGGCGGGGGGAGCCGCGTCCTGCGGGGCCGCGCCGCCACCGCCTGCTCGCTCCCCGCAGGGTCAGCGTCACCTGCGCCTTTGTCACCAGCCAGAGGGTGAAGGGACAGATGGAGCCGGGGCTGGGGGCTGTGCCCTCCACCCTGCGCACGCTGCGGCAGCACCTCGCCAGCATCCCCCAGGTGGGTCCCCGAGCGGCCTCACCAAGGTCCCCAGGCGTGTCCCTGAGCGGCCTCGCCCCCAGCACCTTGCCAAGGTCCCCAGGCGTGTCCCCGAGCACCCTCGCCACCTTGCCAAGGTCCCCCAGGTGTGTCCCCGAGCGGCCTCGCCCCCGGCAGGGCGCGCTACCCAGGGATGGCCGCGTTTCCCTCGGGGGATGGATGGTTCGCCAGGCAAGAGGAGATGACGCGGCTGCCATAAAAATGCGTTCCGAATGGCAACGCGGGGCTCCCTCCCCTCCCGGCCGCTGCTGCCCGCGGCTCAGCGGCTCCTCTTTCCCGGCAGGGCGTGCAGATGGTGGTGGACAAGTTCGAGGTGCCCCGAAAGCAGATCAGCTCCGACCTGGGTGGTAAGAACGGTACCGGCAGCACCCCGAGCTCGCCCCGGGGATGGTCTCGGTGCCGACGGTGCCGGGCTCGCCCCGGGGATGGACGCGGTGCTGATGGAGCCGAGCTCGCCCCGGGGATGGACTCGATGCTGACGGTGCCTCGGTGCCTTGCAGGGCTCAGCAGGAGCGTGGGGCTCTCCATCCACGCACAGCTCCAGGCCATGACCTACGCGGCTCTCGCCGACCTGCAGGACCGGGCCGGAGGTACGGCCGGAGCTCCGCTGTCCCCGGCACCGCCACCGGGGCCGCAGCCTCTCCGTGGCGGCCGAGCGGAGCAGCGTGACCGAGCCCTGGGCTTTCTCTTTAAGACCTACAGAGCTCGCTGCACCATTTACAGATCGTGCACAGGACGGCGCGGGCGCTGGCGGCGGCGCGGGCCGAGCTGGAGCCGGCGCTGCGGGAGCGGAGGCGCCGCGTGGTCGCGCTCCTGGACGACCCGCGCTGCACCTCCTGCGCCAGCGTCCTGGGCCGGGCACAGGGCCTGCAGCTCGGGGCTGACTACGCCAAGGTGGGCACGGGCCCCTGGTGCCCCCGGTGGCCTCTCCGCGCCGCCGCCCCGCGGCTCACGGGGTCTTTTCTCCGCTCTCCCCAGGTGCCGTCGGTGGAGAAGGTGTTGAAGGCGCTGGCCGGCCTGCCCCGAAGTGACTTTGCGGAGATGATTCGCCAGGTTTAGGGGTTGGGGTGAAGCATGGGGGGGTCCAGCACCTGCAGGCAACTCCAGCTGAGGTGCTCAGCGCCTCCTTTTTTCCTGCAGGGCAATGGCACCTTCAACTCCATCCCGGAGCTGGCCGTGGAGAGGATGGCTCAGGTCATCCAGGGTGAGTGGGGCTGCCACAGCGAGTGGGGACATCCCCCACGCCGTGAATCCTTTTGGGGACACGGGGTGGGGTGCAGGGACCACCCAGCCCTGCAGCCCGGCCGTGTTCCCGCAGATTTGCGGGCCGACCTGGCCCGCACGGCGGAGAAGGTGCAGTCCATCGCCGACGGCTTCCCCCTGCCCGACTACACCCGGCCGGCCAGCGAGGCGCTGGCGGAGGCGGAGCAGCGGAGCCGGCCGTACCTGCGGGAGGCGGAGCGCTTCGAGCACTACAGGTGAGCCCGGGGGCAGCCACATGCGCCCTTACACAAAACGGCAATAAAAAGAATCATTGCCTTCTCTACTTCAAGCCAGCCAGGACTCCTAATAGTTACAATGGGACTAAACCTCCCCGAACTGGCCTCCCTCCACATCTCAACTCAAAGCCATGCTCTCCCTGTGCTCAGGTTCCATCATTCACAGCCTAAATGGCCAACAAGATATCCGAAAAATAGGAGGGCTCCAAAAGATCCCACCCACAACCACTGCGTGCCCCACCATCGGCAATGGGAGCACCCTTCCTTGCAGAGAAGGGCCCCGAACCCCCGGTGCCTCAGCCCCGCGTCTCCAGGCTGTGCCCTGTGCTCTCCCCTCCAGGTGGATCGCGGGCACGGTGCTGTGCTCCATCATCCTCCTCATCCTCGCCTGCAACGTGACGGGCATGGCCCTGGGGGCCTACGGGCTGTCCAAGCGGGAGGACCCCAGCGACTACGAGTGCCGAGGAGAAGCTGGCGCCAAGTTTCTCCTGGTGTAAGGCTTTATCTGGGTGCTGGGGGGCTGCTCCACCTCACACACCCCCCAAAAAACCCAGGCAAAGCCAAGGGAGGGACTGGGAGAGGTCCCAGCGGAAAAGCTTTTGAAGGCACCGCCTGCGCCGGCAGCTCCGGGAGAAGCTGCTCCTCCCTGGGAGCTGGCAGCACACCCCGCTGCCAGGGCCGGCCCTGCCCAGCCCGGCGTGCCCGGGCTCGGGAAGGAGCCGCGGGGCTGCAGCTGGACGGGCAGGTCCCTTCCTGCCCTCTCGGGGCTGCGAAGCCACCGGCGCCGCCCCCTCTCCCCTCTCTTTCAGCGGCGTGGGCTTGGCTTTCCTGTTCTCCTGGCTCCTCATCCTCCTGGTTTTCGCCACCTTCCTGGTCGGGGGCAACATCCAGACGCTGGTTTGCAGGAATTGGGTCAACCAGGAGATTTATAAGGTGGGTGGCCACACATCCACCCATCGCCCTGTAAATCTCTCCTTCCGTGCACCAAAACACCTCCAAAGGCTCTGTGTCCTCCCCCTAAACCCGACAGGAAAAGCCCCATCCTAGACCAGAAGATTAAGTTTAGGATTAGCTCCTCGGATTTGCATCAGCAGCTGGGAATCGCCTTTGTGCTGTTAATTCACTTCCTAATTGCTGTTCCCTGGTCCTCGGGGTGCTTGATGGGGGTGATGGGGACGGGAGAGGGATTGGGGCAGTGGGACTGGGGTCAGGACTGTCCCCGTGGCAGTGCCACACACGGCCCTGTCCCTCCAAATACACCAGGCCAGGCTCCTCATTGGAAAGTGTCCAAATAAACCCAAAATTAGCTCAGGCTGCCATGAGCCCTCCCCAGGATACCCCTGTGAGGGCAGAGCACCCCCAGAATCCCTGTGGGAGCACCCCTGCCTTACCCTGCCTCAATTTCTCCTCCTGTTTGGCCCAGTTCATCGACACCCCGGGGAATCTCCCTCCGTCCATGAACCTCACCCGCCAGCTCAACCTCAGGAGGGACTCCAACCTCAGCTCGGCGTACAGGTGAGCACGGCAGGAGCCTCCCCGAGCCGCCAGGACGGATTTGGGGTCCCCCCAACGCTCCTCTGCCTTGCAGGGAGTGCAAGAGCGGCGCGGGGCTCTGGGAGGTGCTGCAGCTCGACAGCTCCTACGACCTGGACGAGCACCTGAGAACCCCCCAGGTGAGGGCCGGCTCCGGGTCGGGGCAGGGGGACGCAGGAGCTTTACTGGGGTTACTGGGAGCCCTGCAGGACGCCTTGTCCCTCCCTGCAGTACACGGCCGACTTCCAAAAGCGCCTGGGAGACTTCACGGCGGAGCTGGGGGCCGTGCGGCTGCTCCGCAGCGAGGGCAGGCAGGACCTGGAGGCCTTCGCCCGCAGCGGGCTGGACGAGGTGGATTACGGGCGCTTCCAGGAGGAGGTGAGGGCTGCTCGCCACCATCTGGACCTGCTGTGGGGCTGGGCTGCATTTCGGGCAGCCCCCGACTCCGTTTCCCCGCAGATGAAGAACCCCGTGGTGCAGACCAGCCTGCCCGGCTTGGCGAGGAACCTGGAGGGGCTGCAGAAGATGCAGGTGAGCGGCGGGGCAGGTGAGGGGGGCCCTCGGTGCTGTGGGGGCCGGGCTGACCCCGCCATGCTCCACAGAGGAACAGCACGGTGGCCGGGCGGCTCGCAGCGGAGGCCAGGGCGCTGAGGCACATGCAGAACTCCACGGTGCAGGCGCAGGAGGCTTTGGTGGTGAGTCCCTGCCGAGCTGGTGGCAGCCCCTTGAAGGGGACAACGAGGTTTCTGAACCTTCCTCACCTCCCTGTCCTGCAGGCGAAGCTGGGGGAAAGCGTCCAGTTCCTCTCCCGCTTGGCACCGCACCTCAAGGTACTGACACGTCTCTTCCAGCCTCAGAAACTCTGGTGCTCCATGGTTCCCATCTGCCACAAAACAACAGCAACAAAAAAATACAGCTGCAGGGTGATGGGAGAGCCAGGAAAAATGCCAGCCAGGAAAATCAGTCTCCTTTAGGGATTAGATTTGCTGTCACAAACCAGAAATCCCCCTGCAAAGGGGTTTTCCTGCTCAGGGCACATCCCCCTTTCCCTGCCCGGAACCCAGACCCAATTTGGGGTTTCTCCCTGCACCCCCCGGGCACCCACTCCGCCCCTCCGGGCCCTGAGGATGCTCTGCCCTCGCTGTGCCTCCCCAGGAGCGGGTGAGGAGGACTCTGGCCACCACAGCTTCGGTGGAAGCCCGGCTGCCCCTGCAGGCCCAGCAGATCCTGCGGCAGGTGAGGCGGGGCCGGGTGAACCGGTGGGGCTGGAATCCCCCGCAGCCAGGAGGGAAGAGGGGGAAGAGGGCACCGGGAGCCTTCAGCCCCCATTTCCCAGCCTGCATTCGCCCGGAGAGAGGCTGGAGAGAGGCTGGGGAACGCGGGGATGGAGCCGGGATGGGGAACGCGGGGATGGAGCTGGGATGGGGAACGTGGGGATGGAGCTGGGATGGGGAACGCGGGGATGGAGCCGGGATGGGGAATGCAGGGATGGAGCCGAGATGGGGAGTGTGGGGCTGAATCCAGATTGGGAAGTGCAGGTTAAATTCAGACTGGGGTTGAATCGGAATTGGGAACGGTGGGATTAAATCAGAATCGGGAACTGTAGGGTTGAATCCGGACTGGGAACTGTGGGGCTGAGTTGGAATTGGGAAGCGCGGGGCTGAATCAGAATCGGGAAGTGTGGGGTTGAATCCAGATTGGGAAGTGTGGGGCTGAATCTGGACTGGGAACTGCGGGGTTCAATCAGAATTGGGAACTGTGGGGCTGAATCCGGGCTGGGAAGTGCAGGGCTCTCCCTCCATGCTGCCTCTCCCTGCCCAGGAGCTCGGCTGCTTCACCAGGAAGGAGCTGCGCTATTTCACCCAGTACCTCAACTGGGTCGGGCAGACGGTGAGAGCTCCCCCGTCCCCCCGCGGGGATTTTTGGGGCCCAGGAGCCCCCATGGGTCCCCCCCAGCAGGCAAACCGCACACCAGCAACCGGGCCTGGTGCTTGTCTCATTGCAGCTGAGGGAGGACGTGGCTTCGTGCCAGCCGCTGGCCACGGCCCTGGACAACGGGCGGGTGATCCTGTGCGACCGCATCGCCGAGCCCTGGGTGAGCATCGCCCTCCTCGGGGCTCCGGGGAGGAGCTGGGGGGGCGCTGGGGCTGCCCGAGCCCCTCCGGAGCCCCGGGGCTGCCCCTCAGCCCGGCCGGTTCTCCTTGCAGAACGCCTTCTGGTTCAGCCTGGGCTGCTGCACCTTCTTCCTCATCCCCAGCATCATCTTCGCCGTCAGACTCACCAAACACTTCCGCCCCATCCGCAACCGCCTGATGTGAGGGGCGGCTGGGGACCGGGGACACGGGGGGACACGGGGGGACACGAGGATGAGTGGGACATGGGGATGAGGAGGACAAGAGGATGAGGGAAACACGGAGACGAAGGGATGGGATGGACACGGGGTAGGAGGACGAGGGGACAGGGAGGACATGGGGGACAAGGAGAAGGGGAGGACAAGGGGACACGGGGATGGGGAGGACAAGAGGATAAGGGGGGCACGGCAGCAGGACAAGGAGATGGGGAGGACACATGGACAAGGAGGATAAAGGGATGGGGAGGACATGGGGACAGGGAGGACATGGGGACAGGGAGAAGGACACCAGAACAAGGGAAGGATAAGGAGATGGGAGGACAAGGGGACAGGGAGGACACGGGAATTGACCCTCCCTGACCATCCCTCGGGCTTTCTCCATCTCTCCTGCAGCTCCACGGGCTCAGAGGAGACCTGTCCCTTCCACATCCCCCGTGTGACAGCGCTCAAGCTCTAGGACGGGGCTCTGCCGGGTGCGGCGCCCCAGGAGCTGCCACAAACCCAAACCCAAACCCAAAGCAGCACAAACCCAAAGCACAAACCTGTGCCAAAGCTCCAAATCCCTCTGGCACCTCTCAGGGCTTTGGATCCCTCTGGCGTCTCTTTCTCGGTGTCCTTTGGGGTCTGGCGTCCTTCCCAGGCATGGGACACCCGGAGATTTGGGGTCTCTGGGGGGCTCCTGCAGCCTGGCTGATCCTGGCTGGAAGGGGAGGCTCCCCCAGCCCTCTCACACCCCACAGCGATCCCCCACTCCCAGCACCCCCAGGCGGTGTGGGGCACATTAAAACCCTCCCCTCAAATCTGCCCCTGGCTCTTCTGTTCACGCCCTTTGTGTCCCCATTATCCACAGGGAACGGTTCTGAGGGGCTTTGGGGTGAGGAGGCTGTAGGGCCAAGGGGTTTTGGGATGAGGGGAGCCCATGGCTGAGGGGCGCCCATGGCTGAGGGGCTTTGGGGCCAAGGGGGCTGAGGGCCTTTGGGGCCAAGGGGGCCATTTGGGTTGGGGCTTTTGGGGTCTGAATGGGCTCTGGGGCTGAGGGGACCCCATGGCTTTGGATTCGAAGGGGTTTAGGGGGACTTCAGGGTTGAGGTTATGGCCGAGGGGGCTCCAGGACTGAGGGGGACTCTGGGGCTGGGATTGTGGCCAAGAAGGTGACACGGCCATGGGGGCTTGGGGACCAGGCCTGAGGTGGCTCCAGGACTGAGGGAGTGACAGGGACATGGAGGTGACAGGGCCAGGCTTGAGGTGGCTCCATGGCCATGGGGGCTCCAGGGCCAAAGGGGACCCCGGGGTTGAGGGAGTGACACGGCCATGAGGGTCCGGGGCCAGGCCTGAGGTGGCTCCAGGACTGAGGGAGTGACACGGCCATGAGGGTCCGGGGCCAGGCCTGAGGTGGCTCCAGGACTGAGGGAGTGACACGGCCATGAGGGTCCGGGGCCAGGCTTGAGGTGGCTTCAGGGCCAAGGGGGTGACATGGCCATGAGGGCTCCAGGGGTGACAGGGACATGGGGGCTCCAGGGCTGGGGGGATGACACGGCCATGAGGGATCCAGGAGCAAAGGGGTGACAGGGATATGGGGGATCCAGGGCCAAGGGGGTGACACGGCCATGAGGGCTCCAGGGCTGAGGGGTGACACGGCCATGAGGGTCTGGGGCCAGGCCTGAGGTGGCTTCAGGGCCAGGCCTGAGGTGGCTTCAGGGCCAAGGGGGTGACACGGCCATGAGGGCTCCAGGGGTGACAGGGACATGGGGGCTCCAGGGCTGGGGGAATGACACGGCCATGAGGGCTCCAGGGCTGGGGGAATGACACGGCCATGAGGGCTCCAGGGCTGAGGGGTGACACGGCCATGAGGGCTCCAGGGCTGAGGGGTGACATGGCCGTGAGGGCTCCAGGGCTGAGGGGTGACACGGCCATGAGGGCTCCAGGGCTGAGGGGTGACATGGCCATGAGGGCTCCAGGGCTGGGGGGCTGACATGGCCGTGAGGGCTCCAGGGCCATAAGGGCTCTGGGGCCGAGGTCATGGATGGCCCAAACCCCATGGGACCCCCATCTCCACCCCCCAATAACCCCACTGCAGGGGTGAGGGCCCTCCTGGCCTCGAGGTGCTGTTAATTAGAGCTTAATTAGAGCTTAATTAGAGCTGGGGGCTGTGGAAACTGCAGGTGAAGGGATGGGTACAACCACGGAATGGTTTGGGTTGGAAGGGACATCAAAAATCATCTTGATCCATCCCCTGGCATGGGCTCTGCCCCCCATCCCAAGGAAGTCCAGCCCTTTATTTCCCAATTTGTGTTTTTTCCCTGTTTTTCATCCAGATCCTTCACCCCCTGGTTTGGCAGGGCTTTGTCCAAGCAGCAAATTATTCCCAGAATCTGTCCAGGGGTTTGCAGCTCCACCAAAGGAGGATTTCCCTCCCCATAAACGCTCTCTGTCTGCCAGCTGAGAGAGAAATGCCCCATTTTTATGCATAATTTATAAGTTTTTTTTTATTTTATTATGGGCTTTTCCTACCCACAGCCAGCAGCAGTAAAAACACCTGGTTTATGCATTATTTAGGTTATTGCTGCCCGGGGTTTTCAGCAGCTCCTCAGCCTGCAGAGGTCAGCATTGCAAAGGTTTTTTTTCCAAAGGGATTTCGAATGAAAACCCCAAAAGGGTTTTTGCAGGACCCCTCCATCCACATGTAGGATGTCCTCAGCCCGCATGGAAACCACCTGATGGCACCAAAAAGCAGCGTTAAAATAGAGGATTTTGGGGTCAGAGGGGGTTGTGGTGTGGAAAATGTTCTTACCTGGGGTTCAGCCAGGAAATAAAAAGCTCCCAGCTGGATGCATTTTGAAGGCCTAAAGTCACAAAATTCTGAGATAATTAAAAGAAGAGGTTTGCCTGATTAAAAAAAAAAAAAAATTAACAATATTTTTTACAATTTTATTTTATAAATTTATTTTAAAATTTTATTTTAGAAATTAATTTTTAAATTATATTTTATATTTTTATTTTTTATAATAATTTATTTTAGAAATTAATTTCTTACAATAATTTTTTTGTACTCTCCATGGCAGCGCTGTATTTTAAATACTGTAATCCCCACTTGGTGGTGCAGGAGAGCAAAAAGGGATTATGGACTCGAAATGTTAGCTAGCACAAAAGCAATAATATTTACTGAGTCCATTCACTGATTAAATAAATCACAGAGACAAACCTGGGGTTGTTTAGGCTGGAAAAGAACCTTGAGGTCATCAAATCCAGTGGGTTTGCAAAGAAATGAGATTAATTCAGCTGCATCTTCTTCCTGAGGTTATTCCTCGTAGCTGGGCCACTCTGAATTACAGATAAATAATGAATGGCAGAGGGATTCACACCGAAATAAATGTTTGTTATAAATCCATGAACATCCCCATTCCTTGCCTGGGATGTGGATGGATTAAAAATGGGAGGATCTTTGAGTTAATGGTAAATCCCCCGTGAATAATCCAGAAAATGGTTCTGAACCAACTGGACTCTGTTTACTAAGGGAAAAAATAAAAAATAAGGATGAGCTGGACAATGATTCCTCACCTCAAGCAGAGCCAGGATTTATGATTAACCTGCAGTCCCAGGTTTATGATTAACCTGCAGTCTCACCCTCACAGAGGCACCTTATCTCCTCTTTATTATTTAAATTAAAGACTGAAATCAGCTCATTTCCAGCTGCTAAATGGATTTTTTAAAAATGATTTTGTGTCTCCTCTGTCAGAGGGGTTTGGTTTTTTTCCTATCTCAGTTTGGATCTGTGCTCTTTGAATTTCTTTTTCCTGTCTCACCTTATATGGATCTGTGTTCTTGGAGTTGTTTTTTTTCCTCTATCTCAGTTTATCTGGACCTGTATTCTTTGAATTTTTTTTCTCTATCTCACTTTATCTGTATCTGTGTTCTTTGAGGTGTTTTTTTTCCTCTATCTCAGTTTATCTGGATCTGTGTTCTTTGAATTTTTTTCCTTTATCTGTATCTGTGTTCTCGGAGTTGTTTTTCCCTCTATCTCAGTTTATCTGGACCCGTATTCTTTGAATATTTTTTCTCTATCCCAGTTTATCTGTATCTGTGTCCTTTACTTTCCAAGCACTTAATTAACCGGTGTTGATTAAACCATTTCCCTTCCCCCTTGGGATTCTGCCCCTCACCTCACTCCTGCTGCCCTGAGAAGTGTCAATAATCCATAAACAATCAATAATTCATTGATTCACAGCTGCTGCTGCTGCCCAGCTCCTATTTCAGGGCAAAAATTGTTTATAAATTTCCTATTTCAGGGCACAAATTGTTCTTCTCTATTCCCGGAACGGAGGAGAAATGCAGGAAAAGTCCAGCCAGGATCAGCTCGTTCCTGCAATTGTACCAGCACTCAATTCCCCCATTCTTACTCCATTTCCCCCCATTTTTCTCCCTGGTTTTCATTGAACACCAACCTCCTTTTCTTCTCCACAAAAAGCATCCGTGACCTCTCGCTCCCGTTTTTCTCATCATCCCCTAAAAACAGCTCGGGAAGCTGAGACACAGAGCAGCTGCTGTGGGGAATTGTTCAAAATTTCACCCCCAGCCCCAAAATATTCCTTTCAAAGCTTTTTCTGCAGCAAGGAGTGAGGGAGGGATGAGAGCCCAATTCCCAGCTGGATTTTATTTGGACAGGAAGGGATGAGATCCCAATTCCCACCTGGATTTTATTTGGTGTGGGAGGGATGAGATCCCAATTCCCAGCTGGATTTTATTTGGATAGGAAGGGATGAGATCCCAATTCCGAGCTGGATTTTATTTGGATAGGAAGGGATGAGATCCCAATTCCCAGCTGGATTTTATTCAGTGAGGGAAGGACAAGATCCCAATTCCCAGCTGGATTTTATTCAGTGAGGGAAGGACAAGATCCCAATTCCCAGCTGGATTTTATTTGGACAGGAAGGACAAGATCCCAGTTCTCAGCTGGATTTTATTCAGTGAGGGAAGGACGAGGAGGGTTTGTCTCCAGCTCCGCTCCTGCATCCCTCGGTAGCCATGGCAACGGCCCCGTGCCCATGGCAACGCCAGGAGCATCCTCGGAGCCTCCCCCGGGCTTTTCCTCCGAGTTCTGGCTCCCCCTCATGGGCCCTTCCAGGGTGAGAGGATTTGAGGTTTAATTCTGGAATATTTGGTGTATAAAACTCCCCTGGTGTCTCTATAAAGAGCCATGGGCAGCTCCACTTCCAGGGTCAAAGGGCAGACTGGACATTTAAGGATGGATCAATATAAATATAAATATAATATAATATTTAATAGCTGGTGTATAAAACTCTCCTGCTGTCTTTATAAATACAAACTTTATAAAGAGCCCCATGGGCAGCTCCACTTCCAGGGTCAAAGGGCAGATTGGACATTTAATGATGGATTCATATAAATATAATATAATATAATATAATATAATATAATATAATATAATATAATATAATATAATATAATATAATATAATATAATATA